CCGTACTTCTTTGTTAAAATATATGATCAACTGCATTGAAAACTATACTACTGTATAGTCAAGGAGTGGTCACCTGGATTTCCCGCAAAATCCCAATCTATATCACAATGTCATGTCAATGATAAGATACTAAAAGGAATTTTCTCATGTGGCATTCCAGGATGCATGTTCCTTCATTCTAGCGAGTAACCCCGCTGTCTGTGAAGAGCTGTGCTTTTATATATACACTCTTACAAGCTTCTCATGTGATTTTCTTAAGATTTACTCACCACATAAGCCTCATGTTCATGATATACTATCACTCGCGTGACACATCTGCAGGAATAGCCATATTTACAATTGAGAGACCAAATTGAAGTCATTGAGTTTGAAGAGTGGACGAGCATGAATTAAGGAAGTTGTTGAAGGTTCCTGAATGTGGCTCAGTGCGCACTGACACACTAGACAGTAAGGTACTTTGTCTTGCAGCTAATTACATTTCAGGTCCCATATGTCACACATTAAATAAATGTCTAACAGAAGGTCTATGTCCCAGTATCTGGCAAAAAGGAAAAAATAAATTTCCTTAACTAAAGTGGCATTTAAACATTTATTGGGCAGAACAGCAGACCCATCACTATCGTCAGAAAACTGATGGAGAGAAAAGCCCATTCGCAAATACAAGATTACCTTGACTGGAATGGTTTAAATACTAGATTTCAACAAGCTTATAGACACAACTACTCCCCTTGTCCGTCCCTTACACAAATGGCAGACGACTGGTTAAAGGGGATTGATAATGCTAGAATGACAAGTGCAGTGTTAGTGGAATTTAGTGAGGCCTTTGATGTTATAGACCATGATCTTTTGATTGGTAGTCTAAAATGCTATGGATTTAGATCAAGCACCATCTCATTTATATCTTTCATGCAGAACAGTAAGGGCGTATTACCTTGGCAGGATGTCTAACTGTAGAAATGCCTTCCTTCTGTCCCAGAACAGAGCATTGCCCCATAAGAAGGAGCACAGCATGCATCATAAACTCTCTTGTTTACCAACACAGAAAAGGATTGTCTTAAGCACAGTCGCAATCTTAAGCAATGGCATTTTCTTTCACCAAAAACAAGTTTTTACACAGTCAACTGACTAAATGTAGTAACTTTCACAGTTCTCCATAATCATTCAGATTAAGCGTAACAGCGGGTGATGGCCAAATCACGTTAACTCGCCCAAAGTCTAATGACTAATTCATAAAAGACAATTTACTTGAAATGAATATTTGGGAAAATTTGAACGACAACCTTCTCAATCTTACACAATAAGAGGTTCACATGTGATGAACATAACGTAACACTAATGTGTTGTTGTATACTGTATGTATATGATGAATATCATGGACTGATTTCGGACCCCAAGGACGACTAACTGGTACTATTGGCATCCACTAATGGGGATCCTTTTAAATAAATATATAAAGACGAGGTTTCCTACAACAACAACAGCTACTAATACTACTTCTACCACTACTAGAAACTAGAAAAGTGCACTCAGTAGTGTGCAGATCTCTGCCAGGTTTGTCCACCACAGCTCCTGCTGTATTGTGTATTTAAATGAATATAACCCACAATTGGCTAACCCCCTGTCTAAACACTAACGGTCAATAAGGCGCAGGACAAAGAAATTATAACTCAAAAACAAGCGGCGGCGTATGCAGGCAATCTGCTCGTTGTCATCGTATAAGACATGTCATACAAACTTGCCAAAAACTCATCAGGCGATCTGCCAGCGTAGCAGCGACTGAGTGGCGGCGATGTAGTCAGCAGTCCGTGTACTGGTTTTTCCGTTAGCTGTAAGCTGTTAGCCAGACACTGTACAAAACAATAAAAAGTGAGCAAACTGTTTCCCCTCCACTGTGTCTCTGCAGAGTAGCGTCTGAGAGGTGGTGGTATACTCAGCAGTGTGTGTATTGGTAGTTCTGTTAGCTGTTAGCCAAACACACCGTCCAAAAGACTTAATTAAGGTGAGCCACCTGTGTCACCCCCACTGTGCCTCCGGGCGCAGAGTAGGGGCTGGGGGGTCGGTGACGCACTCAGCTGGTTTATCACTAGCGGCCCCTAGTGGCTGGTTAAGAGCAGTGAGTGAGTGAGAATCAATGGCGGTATAAAACATGCTATAAAAGCTGTTATAAGAAGTCACTGCAACCACAAGAGGGCCTTGGGCATGCGGCCATAACTGGGCACTCAAATTATTATGCAGGTAGCTGCAGTAGCATACCAGATTAGACGTGGACGGACACTGAGGTGAACAGTGACTCACAGACCCACACACGCACTAATGTGAGCGACTGCAAGATTCTCCTGGTGGAGGCAATAAAAATACACCAAATATTAATTTGGGCACTTTTGAGGGTATGATAAAAATATTCATAATGTAAATCGTGTATTCATTGTTGAGACATTAATAAAAACAGCTCTTTCAAAACAAACATGGGAATATGCATTTATTAAATAAAGAATAAATTACAGTAATAAGACAATGTATAACTCAATATAACACTGAAAATGATTCCTCAATGTGTCACAGCAACTTGACACAGCAAAAGTAGTTATCAAATAAATGTACATTATGAAGTTCTACCAGTTCAAAGGGATGAGTGATATGTGGATAGCGGGCTGTCAGTTTAGTTCCAGGAGTTAAGACAGCAGCGATTTTACCTCATGAAATAGCAAGTTAATGTACACATCACACATTCAGAAGTATTTGATCAGTTGAAGTTGCAGTGATGTGTGAACTGATTGGCTGTAAGCAACCAGGCAGTATGGACACAAGCATGCACACACAAACACTGTTTCAAATGTCTGCTTGAAACCTTTGACTGTACTAAAATCACAGACAACTATTAGCAATTTGTTGCAGACGACACATTTCATATCAAAATCGCACAGACGTGTATGATTGTATAAAATGATGACTCAACTTAAAACAAAAAGGATTGACGGATAGCGAAAGATTGAATTACTTGTAGTTTTGGCATATTTGTGCTCTACTGTAGACACTGCACGGAAGAGCAGTACAACTGTTGAGTTCCTGAAGAAAACTCGGTCAACATGATTACAACTTTGTAAATCAAATTGATTTGGAATAATTGCACCAACACTTTGAGTGCATACCACTGGGGTAACAGAATTAAAGTTTCTTGTAGACCTGATCTGGAGAGATATATAAGTTATCACTGACAGCAGTGGAGGATCCACACTCTGTAAACTTCATCAGGAAATAACACTGGTCTGTGTAAAAACGTACCTAAAACTCTGAGCGGTCGGAATGTCTGAGGACATGGAGCTGTTCCAAGTGCCTACTGAGTCACTGCTTATACGCGGCAGAGTGCTGCCCCCCAGTGGTGAACAATATGAATTTAATCATAAAAATGGCATCAACACAAATACTGGTCACCACGTCAAGTTCTGTATTGTTCACCAAAAAAAAAAAAAAAAACTTTGCACAAGACATCAAACAATTTCAAAGTTTTCTGTCCACCTGTATCATGTCATTGGTGGGATTTATTTTGGGTAAGAAAATATTATTTTCCTGAGTGGCCAGTGGGTATGGTGACGAGAAAAATGTGTAAAATCGACCTCGCAAAAAAACAACAAACAATGAGCAAAGGGTAGTGTTTTTTCTTTAACTTACATGCTGCAGGCTTTTAGATTAACATTAATATTGGGGGCATGTTGTCCATTTTGTTGTTAAAATCGTCCACAAAGTGAATCAGACAAAAAACATGTAATATTTATTAAAACCACTGATCTGTTTGATAATTATCCTCCAGGGTCATTGAAGAAGAAGATGCAGCTAATGCGAGTGAGCACAAGCATTAATGCCCATTTCTTTCCTCTATACTTACTGTGGTGTAACGAAGCATGCTGAGCTGCATCACCAGCAGGTGTTTAGTTTGTGTGCACTGTTACGGTGAATCGTGGACTCACAGAATCCGCAGTATGCACAGTCATACACCCTGTGGATTCTTTACTTACACACACACACACACACACACACACACACACACACACAGACACACACACACACACACACACACACACACAGTTGCATTTCATATGTGAAGGATGTTTGCAGCTTTCTCTCATTTTAGTATGCAGGTCTGTGCACGCAAACTATTTTTAAATGGAAAAATCAAACATAAACGGGGAACGTTTCCTTTGTTTTCTTGGTGAGGGTGGGCATAAAAGAAGATGGCACAACAGTAAAGCCACGGGGATTCTATCCTCCAATGAACTGTTGCTGCTGAAAATTTTAAAGAAGCAATTTGTAGCTGTCTCGGGCTGTACAGGAATTATGATTATAATATTTTCAGTTTTTTTTTTTATAATGGCACTAAGTTATCTGTTTGGGATTTTTCTTTCCAAACATTCATCGGAACGACTTTGAAAATGAACCAGAGGGGGTTTGATGTGTTTGTGGGGACGAAAGTGTAGAAGACGATGGGTGGAGTTAGGGATAAGAAAAGAAAAAAAATCACGTTTAAATTACACCGATTTTTACAGATTCAAATGTTTTCCGAGCATGCATCGATGCCGTGGTGACAACGATAACAATATTCTGTAGATTCCTTATTCTCACGCTAACTGAGCTGACTACAGGTTGCTTTCTTGGGTGTCATTGGAGGATATTGGGTGGAGACCGCCATTCTCGTTCAGTCTCTTGGCACGATAGGTTTCATAGTGAATGTTGTGAGTGACCTCCTTCAGATCCTGGAGGTGAGACCTGAGAAAGAGAGGCACAGGAGCAGAGAGGGGACATGCTGTGAGTTATGTATGCATCTATTTGACAAGGAAGTATCAGAATTATTAAGTTTTTGTGATTCTAATGTTTTTTGTTTTAATGTGTTTTAGAACCCTGCCCACTGCAGGACTGGACCCAGGAAGCAATCTGAACCAATGGGATTTGCCACAGAGTTACATTTTAAATTTTACAGAATATTTACGATTCAAAATGCTTAATATGTGCTTATTGTGCTTATTCTCGCAACATTAATGTGTCACGCCAAATAGTATGAGTTGATGAATGGATTAGTTGATCATCAGAAAAGTAATCAGCAACTATTTTGGTAATTGATTCATTAGCCATGTTTTTCAGCAGAAAAAGCCCAAACTAATCCTGGTTCCAGCCTCTCAAATGTGAATATTTGCTTTCTGTGATATATCAATATATTATATAATATTCAATTTGAAGACATCACCTTGAGCTCTGGAAAGTTCAGATTTTTCACCATTTCCTGACATTTTACATACCGAACGTTTATTTAATAAATCAAGAAGATAATCAGCAGATTATTCCATAATTAAAATAATCACTAGCTGCAGCCCTATTATTTTTACCCACGATCTAGTTGTTACAATTTTGTGGCGCAGAAAAAGTTACCCAATATGGCGTCTCTTATTGCTCCTTAAAAGTGCTATGTATACCTGGCCACATGCTCCAAACAAACAGGGGGCAGCATTTCACCTCTACTGGGCCCATACAATCTACCTTTACAGTAATAAGTTATAAAAAAAAACAGCATTGCAAGAATATGCAAAATGCAACCTTCAGTTAGCCTTTAGCTAGTAACACAAATGTATCCGGCGCAAACCCCAGTGCCAGGGTTCTGATCCCGGGGGGGACTGCCCCGGATCTCCGCCAGCAAACGGTCTGTTGCTGCCAATACACAGGTTAGATCCAGTGCTCCATGAGCCTGCTGTGACTCCCGGGGGTGGGGTTTGCGCTTGCTGAATCAAACTTGCTAAAGTGAAGGACCGTCTCCGGGAGCTACCACCTGCTCTCATCCCGGCAAAGTAGTACGAAATGAAAAAATACGTTTTCTCGTTTCTTCCACTTTGGATTTAATGATCTTACACAGACTGGTCTTACACCTTTAAGCCTTCAAGTCAGTACATTTAACATTTAAAAGGCTATTTTACCTGATCAGGAAGTCTCTCAGCAGAGCAAACTCACAATGGTTTGGATTTTCAACTGCAAAGAAAACAGAACATCAGATGTCATATCTTGTCCATTACCTGACACCATAAATATTAGCTCTATTTACTATTAAAAACTCATACCTATTAAGATAGGCCATATGACTCACCTTCTACAATGCCCCACGCCGTCTTCCTCCCCAGAACTCGTTTGCCATTCACTTGATATTCTTTGTCGCTGCCCACCACAGCAAAGGGCATCGCCTCCTATGGACAGAGACATTTTAACACGGCTCAGTGCGCCGACAAGAGCCGCACAAGGTTCATGAGACGTAACAAATACACAGCATGCCCTAGTGCCCTGACATTTTGTTTGGAGGGGAAGCAGGGAAAGACTCAATGCATACAAAGAAAGAGCAAAACCACTTACTCTGATCTTGTCATTGTCGCTCTTGTCCTCCATGTCCTCATCGAACTCTTTCTGCGGGTAAAACTCAATCCCGCCCTTCTCCAGCTCCTTCCTTACCTACAACACAAACCAAAGCCAGTGTACCCAACATTCTGGAGAGGGTATTTAGAAATAGTCCAATCCATATTTGGATCCCTTAAATGACCTGCATTATATTTTTGTTGGCCACATGGGGGCAGCAAAAACAAGCAATAAAAACAACATTGACAAATTATCCCCTTATAAATCTGATACACAGCTGCGTATTTACACATCCAGTAGACAGAAAACAACACTAGCTTTCATTTGTTATCTGGCTCTTCAGCTGCTAAATGCCCCACTATGTTCACCGGCTGGTTTGGTTCTGATGAGGTAGTGCTCCATGCTGTGAGAGCAGTGTAACAACCAAAAAACTGCAGGAAGTCATACCAAAACAACGAGTTAAAAGATGCTAAATGCTACGTAGGCGTCTCCACCACAGACTGTGTAGAAGAAGTGGACGTAGTCACCGTGACATCACCCATTGGTGTGTGGACTGCTGCTTTTAAGCCTCGACTTTGACATTTTGGCCGTCGCCATCTTGTTTTTTTACAAACAGAAGTGACACGAGAAGGTGGAGCTAAGTACAACTGAAAGCTGAATAAGACATTATTCAGACAAACACACTATGAAAGGGTCAAAGCTGTGAGACGAAAACACGGACAACTCCTAGACCTGACAACGCCGTGGTAGAGACCTGTCAATCACAAAGTAGCCCCGCCCGAAAGCATACCCTGCTTTATGGTCTGTTTGACTCTAAATGGACCATCATTTACAAAATGAACATCATGCTGTATTGAAGAAGCCTTGAAACTAGAGATTGAGACTATAAACTCATGTTTACAATGTTTACTGAGGGAACAAATCAAGTGAGAAGTAGAGTCATTTTCTCATAGACTTCTATACAATCTTCTTTTAGACTTCTTTTAACAACCAAAGGAGTCGCCCCCTGCTGGCCATTAGAGATAATGCACTTCCTTATTAGCTTCACTCTTCAGACCCGGAGGTTGCTGCTTGGTCTCCACTTTCTCTCAATGTCCAAAAATGAAGCCAGAATATCCCAGAGAGGGCGATCAAGATGTTTTAGCTTCACTTTTGGGGAGATGTCATATCATCTTTATATACAGTCTATAGTTGTAACTTTGAGCTTCACTTTTCACATTACACATTTACAGTTATTTAATCCATTGTTAATGTGAAAATATTAACTAGAGCAGCTTTAAATACCAAAATACATATTACGCAGGACATCTTGGAGTTGAAAAATACATTTTGTAGAGGACAAACAATAAAATGGAAGATAACTCAAGCATATCGTTAGTATTACTTATAGGCATTGACATTGATATAAATGAATAGTGTTGTGTCAGAAATAAGCTAATATAGGCTGAACTGTAGGTCTGGGAGATTTATCAGTTCAGACTCACCCGCTGTTTGAACTCCAGTCTCTCCTCAATGGTCATCGTGTCTGACTTCGCTATGACGGGAATAATGTTGACCGAGTGACTCAAGCGCTTCATGAACTCGATGTCGAGCGGCCGCAGACTGGGACAGACAGACGGGCAGAGGACAGAAAAGAGAGAGGGCGAGTGAGTCAGTAGATTATGGGGCTGTGATTGTCCCAGAAGACGGGACAGTAAAAAAGGACTCAGGATAACAAATAGCAGAGAGAGGCACAGGGATTGTATTTGTCATGTTCCGTACGTCTGAATACCTTGACCTAGTCTATCTGTGGACAAAGGTTGTGTCCCAGTTCTTATCTGCCTGCACACAAAACATCCTGCCGGTCTCAATTACAACAGCTAAGAAGGATGGCTGTAATACACGTAAGGCTGAATCCGTTCATCCATTAGAGAGCCATTTCACAGCTGTCAGCAGTAGCTCATTGTGAGGTGTTCAGAGGAGAGAGCGCTGTGTGCAATATAAAGTAGCCCCTACTCGATTTAAGGCTGTGCCGATCTGAAACGAAATGTCTGGAAGAAATCTTTCGTTCTGACAAAGATGAACTCACGAGTGTCCAGTCGGGGTGATGAAATATATACAGCAGTGCACCCTGGTGTCGGGGATGCGCTTCTTCCTGGTAATGTTGACCTCCTCTTTCAGGAACTTCTCGTACTGCTCGTTGATGTACTTGAAAATGGGCTCCCAGCTGTGGAGGAGAAGAAGAAGACTTTTACGAGAGTGGGAGCATTTTTTAACGTAGCTTCGGGGGGGAACTAGACGCATCGTCGCATTTTGTGTGGTGACGAGTGGACAGTTGGTCTCGGTGAGATAAGGCAGTTTTTTTAGAATACAGGAGGGGGGGGGGGGGGGGGAAACCCACCAGTTGTCGTTATTGATTTGGTCTCCAAAGCCCGGGGTGTCGATGACTGTCAGCTTCATCTTCACACCGCCCTCCTCGAGGACTGTAAAAAATAACACACAAAGAAACGAGCAACATAAACCACAGCTGTTGCTTTGTATGTGGAAACACTACCGCGTCTACGCAGCCGGTCTGTATTCGACAGAGAAATGGCAGCAAACTAAGTAAAAACAAATGATCCGCGGCTGATCCAGGGCTTCCTTTCAAACCCAAAAATGGCGGCGGATCCTTGCTGCTCAGCTCGCCTTATCTCCAGCGGATAGCGTTGTGCACTGTGGAGGAACATCACAACGTGGATGTTTTAGGAGAGGAACCCAGTAATGAGGGAAAACAAGTCGGATTCCTCGCTCCGCGACATTGTTAGCGAACCACAGATTGAGCCACGTTCAGTCGTGTCAGCAGGGGTCGCTCACTGTTACCACGGAAACACCGCTCTTTCAGTTCAGAGACCGTCTGGCGTTTTGGAAGCAAACATTTTAGGCTTCAAATGAGGTCATATTTAGCTTCATTTCAAGCCAATCCTTTTATCAATTTATAGACATGTTGCAAACAGACAGAAGAATGCACAACCCTCCTCCAACTCTGTTTTTTTAAAGTATATAATGTAATTATACCACATTCTATTCTGAGTTATTTTGAGGGGACCACCAGTTATGAACGGTCACAGTAAACAAACCATCGAAGCCTCTCACACAAAGTACCTGCAGAAGACACACAAGTTGTTGGCCCGTGTATTTGTAGCTCAGCTGAAACCAATGCACCGACAGACTGAAGCAGGCCATGTGGGACTTTTAGGAACGCGGTCAAAGATCGTTCATTTACGTCACTGTAAATGTCTGTAGAGAAAGAACGGAAGCTCTCGCTGCTTCACTCACCGTGAGACACGGCTTTGATCTCAACCGTTTTGGGGATCTTCTCGTCGCGGGCCCACCCTGCACTCCTCCTGCTCACCTGGGACTTGAACAGGGTGTTCACCAAAGTTGACTTTCCGAGGCCGCTGTTACCTGAGACAAGGGGGGAGGGGGTGTGAACAAGGTCGAAGAAGAGGTAAGATTAAAGAAAAAGAGATTCTTCATCTCAGAATCAGAGACCAGAGAGATCAGACACTGATACTCTGTGACTCACCGACAACCATGATGTTGAAGTCAAAGCCCGCCTTCATGGTCTTCTTCCTCATCTGCTCAATGATGGTGTCGATGCCGATGTACCCCAGCAAAGTGGATCCACCGCCGGACCTGTGGGAGCCTGCATGACCTCCGTTGTGTGCTGCAGGGAGACCCCCAACGTGGCCCACACCATGACCGACGTTATGACCCACAGCGTGGCTGGCAACGTGACTCCCGATGGGGACTGGAATGGCACTGGGAGGCAGAGCTGTAGCGCCGCCGATGCCTCCTCCTCCTCCGATGCCCGGGCCCTGGGGCGGGAAGGGGCTGGAGGGGGAAGGAGCCCCCACATTCGGGGGCTTGGCAGGGACGGCTGGTTTGGGTCTCACCTCTGGAGGAATTATGTCTGACATGTCTGCGGAAGAAAAAGGAGAGGAAGGTATAAAACATGGGTTTTCATCAGCAGTAAATACTTCCACATGAGTAAGTAGGCCAGTGGAGCAGGCCGAGGCCTCGCCTCCCTGTGACTTGTTCTACTCTGAAGAAATGGGTTACGGTCGTCTTAAAGGGTTAGTTCACCCAAATTAACATTTTATCAGCCAATAATAGCTTAGTGCAGAATATATTGGTATCAGTGTATATGTTGGCTAATAACAAGAAATTGCAGTACAGAAATGCAAAAGATGTGTTTGAAGTTGAAACAGTGACATCATCAGTGTCACAGTTTAGGTCTCCCTTAATTTTCCCTTTTTATTACTGCAACAATTAGTCGATGGACAGAAAATGTATCAGCATCAGTGCTTTGACAGTTGACTAATCATTTTGAGTCATTTTCTATTTAAGAGGAAAATGCCAAAACTCTCAGCTTCTCAAATTAGATTTTTTTTCCCTGTTTCCTTAGTCTACTGTGACAGTAAACTGAATAACTTTGCACCAAAACAATGCATTTGAGGTCGTTACAATGGCATTTTGACTAACGAAGGAAACAGTAATTAAGTTCATTGATGACGAACCTCGTCGTCAGTAGCAGCCCTGGTGAACACCACATTACTCGACGCCGCCATGTTTCTGTGAACGGATCCTTCAAGTGAGGCAAACAGTGGGGGCAGATGGTGACGGTAACTGGCATGAGGTGGACCACCTCAGGGTGTACATATGGATCAGCCCGCTGCCATGCTTTAAATCCGTGCTTCCGCAATGCCAGATCCAGATGACCCGGATGATGCGGGTCACTGAGGCAGTGGCTGTCACTTTGATCCATCACACACTTTGATCCCCATACGCAGTCACAGATAAACCAGATTTACAAAATTATGTCAGCATTGCAGGCAAATCGCACTTGACGACTGAAACGGACAGTAGCTACCGACATGAAAGCTACGACCTGCTTCCTCACTGAAAAAAAAAAGCCCGTTATTCTTGTTCTGGGTGGCGGAGCTTAATTAACGTGAAGGGCCACGCGCACTGTGGCTCCGTATTTCAGCGGAACCCCTTTGTATGTGTTTTAATGCAACACACGAGGTTAGCTCCATCACAGCCTGTCGACCCCCATTGTCTCTCTGCAGGCAGTCATGCTGGATAATCACGTTAACAGCTAGCGGACGCTCCGCGTTAGCCGCTAGCTAACGGTGGGCTCGAGCTGCTCCGACGTTTGATGTAGCGCGTGCGTCACACTCACCTACTCCCGTTCAGTTGACCCGCGGAATCTGCTCTCAGGTGACCGGCTGATCAGTTGTCGCTCTCAGTCCGAGAACAAACGACGTGCATCCAAACAGAGAGGTAACGAGAGGAGCGGCGGTCATGTGACTAGTCCGGGTACCTCTCCTCGCCTTCCCTCCGGCCGTGAGCCCCCCCCCTCTTCCGTTACCGTGGCGACAAGAGGAGAGGGTGTGGGGAGATGCAGCGCGCACGCGCAGTAGATATTCACCTCAGAGGGACATATTTTTTGGTACAGTGTCTCCTGACAGTGATGCGGAGAACATTTTTTCGGGAACATTTTGGATTGCATTATAATTAGACAAAATTATATGGTGAAATACGGTATTGAAAGAAGTATTCAGATAATTTGGGAGAGTACACCCCAAAATCAAAAATAAATAGTTCCCTCTTACCTGTAGTGCTATTTTATAATAATTATTTATCTACACTGTTTTGTTGTGAGTTTACCTTTTTTTTTTCTAAACTGATCATGTTTTGTGTTTTAACATTTCAAACTGTTAAATAACTGAAATATATCGCAACAGTGGTTCCCTCTGCTACACAAAGTTGAGTTTGTTTCTTTTGACTTTTTTTCCCGAAATCTTTAGTTTTATCATAGTGCAGCTTTTAAGTTTGCATACCAACAGATCCATCTCCATGGCAACTCATCAAACTCTATCCACCCATGAAGAATGTGTCACACAGTTGAGGCTCCAGGAGAGAGGAGCTGGTAAGCGGACTCAGAGCTGGGTTTGTTTTGTGAAACAAATCCTGGACAGTTTTTACCTTGCAGGGCCTCCAAATAAAACCATTTGGCCCTCACAGAACTGATGAACGTACAGTATGCAACCCATGGCAGATTGAGATTCATAATTATAGTAGTGTTTTTAAAACCTCTATCAGGGCTATAATGTAACTTCTACCAGTAGCAGTTACACCTCATTAAGTGTTTTCTGTGATATTGTTTAGTAAAATGATTCTTGAAAGTGTTACAGGAAGATAAGCTGTGCCTCGCTACTCACACTTTATCTCTTCCTTGCTCTCCTGTCATCCCTCTTTTCTCTTTCTTTCTGCATGTTTTTGTTGTGTCTGTTAGTCTCTGCGGAGGGCTGTATTGGCATGTCCTCCTGGACTAGTCACTTTGACAGAGTGCTAACTAACGTTGTCGTGTCTCTCCTCAGCACGTCTGTTACTCTACTGATAAGGACTGACATCTTAAATCCCCCTGCTATCGTCTTTGACCACCCCGTTAGACAGAAAATTATCGAACTCTTCAAAGATTAAACCACAAGCGATGAGAGAGTCCCTGTCTGTCATGTGTGCTTTGAGGGATTTCTTGGCTTTCTTCAGTTAAAGTCAAGTGCATGGTTTTGGTAAGTCTGTACTCACCCACGTACACTGATCCAGGGTAATACATGGTGACGTAATAGGGGTCCTCTGGATCCTCCATGATCAATGCTCTGTCTGCTGGAGGGTAATTGGGTTGACGTTGCGGAGGGGAAGCTGCTGTTGTTGTCTCTTCTGGTCTCTGGCTCACTCTGTGCCGCGGCTGCGATGGCCGGCCAAAGACCCCCTTTGAACTGACGCCAAAACTGTTTGTGTTGAATGGGCAGTATTCCTCTGGGGGGTATTCTGGTAGCTTTGTGGGCGCACCGTGATGATCAGATGGTGCAAAAAGATCTGTTTGATTCAGCAACGTGTCACTGAAGGTCACCTCTTTGTGGCTAATGTTTTGTGTGTGATCGGACTGATGCTTGTGTGAGATAACATCAGGTTTTGAAAGGGTTGTTTTTGACGTGGCGTACTCAACAGAAGCAGGTTGGGAGCCCTCCTGTGTCCGAGGGGCCAACAGGCTTTTTCTAGATCGATTTAATCTGTCCGCACACGGAAGAGACTCCGTTTCACAATTGATGTTTCTTGACTGGCGGCTGTAATCCTTTGAAACACAGTCGGACTGACTCACTGGGACCGGAGTCTTCGACCAGAATCTGTGATTCTGAGGAGACTTTGCGTCTTGAGACGCACTGGTTTGTTGAGAGAGTTTGGATGGATGCCCCGTAATCGTCCTTATGTTGTTTTCTTCTTTAGGTCTTCTGAGATTAGACGGAAATTTCTCGTCCACTTTTGTGTGATCGTTGAGGTCAAAACGTCTTCTCCTGCTCTCGACATTGGGTGACTGATTCACAGATAGCTCGGCGGAAAAAGACATTTTGGGAGTCGTTGGTGAAGCTGCACTTCTCTCAGAATACATTAGTTCATATGGGTGATCACTGGAGGTGAGATTCCTCCTCTGAGGGGAGTCTATACGCTTCCTGTGAAGGCTCAGACTCGACCGAGTAGCCGGTATATCAAACGCCGACTCCCTCTGAGCAACATGAGCAAACCTAATCCCCTCACACTCTGAGAGGGATGTTTGTGTACCTGTCGCTCCACTTGGCAGAAATTCCTGCTGCTGTTTGATGTTTGACATGGGTTTAGGGATTGAAGTTATGTTTATTTCCCCAGGCGGAGGCTTTAGTTTATCTCTTGCAATATTTTCTTTTTCACTTAAACCAACTTGCGATAAGCAGGAGTTCTGAGACGTGGCTGCTTGTCTCTGGAACTCAGAATAAGTTTGGTGTCGAGACGTGGGACAAGCTCTCCTCAACGCGGGATGAGTAAAGTCCAAGAAAGCTTCTTGGTCAAGAATGTCACGCTTTGCCTCATGTGAAGACCTCTGTTTGACGGACTCAGGCTCAACTTTAGCGTTCGATATGGCAATCGATCTGGCTTGTCTTTCTTTAGCGACAGGAGAAGGCTGCTTGCCTCCTCGGCTATCCAGACTCATCCCTTGGGAAGTCGGAGATGGACTCAGTCTGGGTGTTGGGACGGTCAGAGTCGGAGACACGCTCGGCTTCGGTTGGTGGAGCGATGGAGGAGGATCGCTGAACTGTGAGGCGGGGACACGGAGAGAATCCCTTGGCTTCGGTGGTTTTAGAGTGGGAGAGGAATTTGTCTTTGGAGCGGGACAAACAGAGATGCTGGGCTTTGCGGAGAGAGCTGGAGAGCTGTGTGTTTTGGGTTTGGTTCTTGGGAGCGTTGAGGCTCTTTCTCCGTGGTTTCCCCGTGAACACAGACTTGATTTACTCCAAGTGGGCTGAATGGATGTCTTGGAGGGACAAATTGGGACAAAAGATCTGAAGCCATAAGAGGGAGGAAAAAAAAGTATAAACCATAAAATGAATTCAGCACAATATTTACTATATTACATAAACCTGAGAATAGAATACAAGCTTGGTTTACCTGTCAGTGTTTTGTATTGTGTTGTGTTTTTCATAGATGAGCCCTTTCTCATCAAATGATGGGATTTTGATGGCTTTCTTTTTGATGACAGGAGACGATAGGGACAGAGGAGGAGACAAGCTGACTGATGGACGTCTGGAGGATGCTGATACTTGAGGGATCAAAGGTGCCAGGCGGTCAGAAACACTCATTCTGTTGTAAGTTGTGCAGGAAGAGATGAAAAGAAAAGACTGATTCAATAGATGGGAGTGGTGACATGGAGGAAAGTCAGCATCCAGATCCTTTATTTATGTAAAAAAAAGTAACAATACCACAATGTAGAAGTACTCCATTACAAGTTAGAGCTGCTTTCAAAATCTCACTTAAGTTAAAGCACAGAAATATCTGCATTACACAGCAAAACAGCCGCTGTTAGGGTTACATCACCATATTCAATATTATGACATTATTAATACTAATGCATTCATGTGTAGCTGGTATTTTACCACTGTAGCTGGTTGCGGTAGAGGCAACTTTATCTACTTTATATACTGTTGGGTAGTTAAAACCAGCAGTGCATCATATTTTATGAGTGCAAAGTAACGAGCAACCACAGCTGTAAATTGGAGTAAAAAGTACAATATTTGCCTCTGAAATGTAACGGAGTAGAACTATGAAGTAGCATGAAATGGAAATACTCAAGTAAAGTATAAGTACCTGAAAATTGTTTTTAAGTACAGCACTTAAATGAATGTACTTTGAAACACTGCGGTCTGAAACCACATGACATAACAAATCTTTGCAATGACAAATGCTAAAGTCACAATAGAGGAAGACGGACACCAACCTGCTGTCTGAAGCAATGTCTCTGCTGTGGACACACTGAGTGAGTAACGAAGTCACGGAGTGCGAGACGGGGAACTCAGCAGCTGGAAGTGGTGGGCTCTGAAGTGCCATTCTCTCCATTCCTCCACACTGAGGGTGCACTGTTTCACTCCCACGCTGGTCTCTGTTTTCGTTTGGTTCATGGGCCGACGTCTGTGGAGTCTGAATGTGGTCTTGTTTGTAGGATTCTGTCTGACGATATGTAGTTTATCTCAACCTATAGGGGTTGGGCCCCCCCCTCCAAAGGGTCACAAGATTCATCTGAGTAGTGGTGAGATGATTAATGGGGAACCGAAGAATAAAAACAAAATTCTGCCACACAAATCTGTATTTTTTTTAATTTTCCTTTCTGCTAATTTGTGAGATACTGGACACTTTTACCTCTTCGGCGCCTCAAACGGTTATTTTAAAAATACAAATTTAAAGGGTAAATGTCTCCAGCAACTTTTTTGGTAAAGGTTTTTATATTTTGTGTTTTTTTGGGGGTAAATTCTTAATTTGAAAACTAACTACAGCGTTCAGATGAGTGGAGTAGAGCTATAAAGTATATAAGTAATCAAGTACAGTACAAGAAACTTCAAATTGTACTTGAGCACAGTACTTGAGTAGATATACTTGCATAAATCTCAGATATGATGAACTTCGGAACAACATGCGGAGAGTAAATCCAAAGAGTTGAGGATTGAACAGTTTTAATTTGTATCAAGGAAGGAAGCATATATGATCATCAAAAGAGGGCCGTTACACACCCACAGTTTCCTCACCATGCTGTCAAGTAAAAACAATGGAAACAAACACAAATATACACCGTCGAGCATTACCAAATACTTGTTTTCTGTAATCTTGGTCGATCTTGGTCGAAAACCCTCCCCCCCAACTGTCGACCAACTCGACGCACTCATGTCGTTCACTTCACTGATTAAATGCACAATATGAGTAAACTTTGTGATTTATGCAAAGCGATTGTCAGATTACAAAAACGTATGTAAAAGTTGGCACAAGTAAGATGAGGGTGAAATTTACATCATCACATGTCTAAAGGGGCAACATGTCCTCCGTCCACCTGCCCCCCCCCCTCTGAGCTTCACTTTTCCCTCATCGTAACCTAAAGTTAGAGATCAGAGAAAAGCTGGAATCGTGGGACTGGGCAATCCCCCCCCTTCCTCTTCCATTTTTCTTCTCCTTCTTGTTGGCTCCCATCAGCACTCCTGTCCAGATGGCCCCTCCACTACCCCCCGCCCCGCTCCGTCTCACCCTCTCCATCATATCAGGGCATTGCTATCGTCGTCTCTGCAGTTCACACTGGCCACCAGCGGGTGATGCCGCATCGTTTTGCTGCTCCACTTGTGGGCGTCCTGCAGCCCGGGCTCGAGGAAGTACAGGCACGCTCCGAAGCCCGCGAGCACCAACACGGACACCAGCAGGTAGAGGGGGACGAACCAGTCCAGGAAGAGCCACGACATCGCTGCTGTCGGAACAGAGGGGAAGGGATGGGGAAGGGTGGAGGAGGAGGAGGGGACATGACGGAGAAAGGAAAGAGAGGAGAGTTTAAAAAAAAAGTGATCCTTCAGGGTGACATATCCCGCGTGACAGACTGCAGCATCCCATTATTTTCAGCCATTTCTTAAAAAAGCCTTCCTCAATACAATCACAGGCACTGGGGATCCAAGCCAATCACAATCAGCTCACAGCAACGCTTGTGAATTGGAAAAAAACACAGACAGGTGTTGCACTCTAAAAATAGAGCCCAGCAGTGTAAAAAAAGAGGGAAAAAAGCCACCGCATGCTTACCTGCGGACGCTGCTGAATCCGTTGGGTGTCCTGGTCTCAGGCGGTCTGTGATGTGCAGCAGGGGCCGCGAGTCCCAATCAAAACACCAGATCGGTTTTCCAGTGCCGCAGCTCCGACTGTTGCATGTGCTCCTCTGAGTGGCACAGAAGCTGCATGTGGCTTCATCCTTCCGAGCTCCTGGCTCTGGCGTTAAAAAAAAAAAAAAAAAAAGGAAGGGTGGGGGTTGCCATGACAACACCCCCTGCTGCTGGCGGAGAGAATGGAGAGGAGTGGGAGGGAAAGTTATATAACCATAATCATTTTTTTGGAGGGGAGGGGGGGGTTGAGGAGGAGAGGGGCCCCTTCAGATGTCTGGATGCTCGCCGCCTGCGTAAAATCAATTCCAGTCCATTTAACTGCAAGGCCATCACAGTTTATGTGACATTGAGAGAAAGGAGGGGGGAGGCGGGCAGTTTTGTAAGAGCTGCACCTCTATATATCTGCTCTGACTGACGGCAGCTGCAGTGTTTTATGGAGTCACTCCCCTGAGTAAAAGTGGTGGGAAAAAAAATGATATCTTTTTTTTTGTCTTGCTGGCTCCCAAGACCGAAGCTGAACACAGAGAGGATGGGGCCTACATAATGAAAAGTTGTCAGAGGACGTCATCTCTTTTTTAATGACTGCCATTTTCAGCTCGTTCCGCACAAGAGTCAGATTCACAAAAAGCAGCCGAGTCAAACAGATCTGCTTCAAATGAAAATGATGACAAGCTGAACGCACAAGTTATCCATAAAAGTCACATTCCGTCACAAGCTGATTTGAATCAGATCTACATTGAACATATATTTATTACACGTTATGAGGGATAGCATAAGGGAGTCTTGTCTTATTTATTTGTTGCTGGAATTGGTTTTGATGATTTTTACTTTGCAGCCTTTACTGTCCACCAGTCGTTATCGAGATGCAGACAGGCACTCAACGACATATCAAACATTCGAAAAAATATAAACTATAAATTTATATTTAATTTGATTAAATTCTGTCTTTTTATATTTACTATTGCTTTTTGGAGCCTCATAGTGAAAGCATTTCACATGATTTTATAACTTTCTATGAATTAGAAAAGTGCGGTCAGTTGAGTGCAGATCTCCACAAGGTGTGTCTGCAAAAAGCTGTTGTACTGCGTGATTGAATGAATACAATCCACAACTGGCTAACTCCCCGTCAAGAGACTAACACGTCGTAAAACACACTTCATTCAAACTCAAAAACAAGCTGTGACGTATGCAGGCAATGGACTTGAAGTTGTTGCATAAGAAACGCCATGCAATCTTGCTAAAAACTGAATTAAACTCACCAAGCTGTCCTCTTAGCAGTGGCTGAGTGACAATGAGGTACAGCAGTGTGTGTGCAGTGGTAGTTCCGTTAGTTGTTAGCTAAACACACCATCCAAAACAATAAAAGTGAGCCTCAGAGCAGCAGCCGAGAGGAACCAACAGTGTCTGTGCTGGTACTACCGTTAGCAGTTAGCCAAACACACCGCAAACTGTTAAACCGCTCACTGTGGCTGCAGAGTAGCAGCTGGGGATCAGCGATACATTCAGCTGTATTATGACTAGCGGCCTATATACCGGGGCCGGTTTATAGTAGGGAGTGAGGAGTCAGCTGGCAGTATAAAACCGGAAATAAAATGCGTTTTGAGAAAATGTGAGTCACTTCAACTATGAGACGTTCTTGAGCATGCAGCCATAATTGGCCACTCAAAATATTATGCAGCTTGTTGCAGCAGAATGTGAGATTAGCCGTGGACAGACACAGAGATGCACACTCACTCACTCGACCAGTCGAATGGTCTTCCTGGCGGAGGTAATAATGAATCTTGAATCGTTGACAGTATAATGTCATGGAACCTATGCTTGGTGGCCAGATTGTCAGAGAAAGATGGGCGACCCACAGACGTATCAGGTCGTCCACATGTGCCATTGAAGCTGTACCGCACACATTTTTGCATTTTCTGAACCCACATTCGCCTCTGTGAGAGGAAAACTATTTTTACCGTTAATGTGCACAACATATCTTCTAGCTTTGGCTTTACATGTTACTTTCAACTTTACTGTAACTACTGACCTGTTTTTTTAACATCAGCAACTTTTACAAACTATAATGAAACCATCAACAAAAGAATCTATTCCAATATGAGATCATCTGTACATAAGTAAATAGGGATTAACTGTATCAAAGGCCTCAGAGAGATCACATTGGTGTGTGGTCGGTGCAATGTCCAAAGCAATTTACAGAAAAAGAAGGGCAGCATTGCTTGTTGACTCTTCCTGGGAGAATTCAATAATGACCCACAGGCTTCATATTTTCTTTAAATGTTTTTTTATTTTAAATGTGCATTTTTGAAATCCTTGGGGGGGGGGGAAAGGGTGAACATTTCAGCAGTGACTTTGTTTTACTTAGTGCATCTTGGAATGAGGTGACAGCTCATTGATAGCCCATTGGCTTACAGTGAAGGCTGAAGGTGCTATGTACGTGCAGAAGTGTGTCTGTCGCACCCCCCCATTCTGGTTTGTCAACAAAGTTGTGAGATAAAAGTACACGTACGGCTGATCCCCTCAGCATCTATAAAGTGCAATTTAACTTAAATGTGCCAGTGCGATTATGTTTGCAGCTTATAACTTGTGCCGTCCGTAGTTTGACTGGGACAACACTTTGTTCCGCAGGAAGTCGGACACAATCGGAGCGACGACTTCAGGCTCATTCAGATGAACGTGGTGATCACCTGGTACCGTCACCACCGTGTACTGAAACCAACAGAAACAGAGAGGGATTTTAAATGTAGACATACAGAATCAATAACCACCAAAAAAAACCCGCTTCAAATTTTTGTTATTCTGTCCCAAGTTGTGAACTCACGTTTTGGTCCTGTAGGCCATGGAGAAGTGTTGAGATGAATTTCCTTTGAGTTGGATGGAAACATATTCTATTGATGCCTTTTTCTGCTCTGGAGAAAGATATTTTAAACATACAATTTGAGACTTGCATAAATTAAAAAAAACCAAAAAACAGGTAATGATTTTCACATCCGTTTCTGCTCAAGACATTAGCTACTGTACGTCAGTCAGCTGTTATAAACGTCTCTGTCTGCTATTCATAACATAACGCAATGATCCATTTCAGAGTGGTGATCAATATCTTACAGAACAAGCAGAACAGAGGCTTGAACCCTCGACTGCATCTCCAGACTCTGCTCCGAACTGATGCGCCATATGTTTTTCTGAAAACATAGAATCAAAACACATGAACTGTGCAAAGCTGAATGCTAAACCGCTGGTGTAAAGACACAAGTTAACAGAGAGGAGGTGGTGAACGTGGGGGAGGGTCTGAGAGGTGACTCACGAAATTAACTCGCAGGTCTCTGGAGAACGCAAATCCTGCAGAAGAGAAACACATTCAGCCGAAAAGCAAAGTGAGATTATTCCTCTCCAAGAGGAGGAGGAGAGTTAAAATACGCACCTCCTTCAACTTGAACTAGCCCTCGCTCTAAAAGGATGTGCGCCGACTGTTCAGTCAGAGTCGGGTTTGCAGCCGACAGCCTGAAAGAAACAAAAACACTTTAGCCATCAGCTGACTGTAGAGACAAAGACCTTAGAAATATGAAATAAATGTTTGTAAATTATACCTCTCAACTGCCTTCTCATAAGTGTAAACTCTTTTCTTGTCTTCTGTCTTGTTTTCAAACTGAAGGATCTCATCCATCCCCTTCCTCATCACTTTGGAAAGTTCTTTCTGCAATTAAAGAGACAGGAGCTACTGAAAGGAGTGGAAAGTACAGCAGAGCCCCTTTTGTATATGATAGGACAGATAGTAAAGGTTGAAAATGACGATAATTGAAGCCCAATTCAATAATATCGAGTGGAAAGTACAACGATGCTCTTTTTTATACGATATGACATAAGGGTATATGAATAAAAAGTAAGGATGGAAATAAAGATAATTGAAGCACAATGAAAAACGACCTGGAGGGAGTTTTGCATTCTGCAATCAATAAAATACAAATGGTGGGCATCAAATGGCCTGATTTTGGGACACTTTAGAGCCAAAACTTCCCATGATACCTCCTGCTGCTATTATAATTAGTCATATTTATTTTACTACTACTACTGCTGCTTCTCTTACTGCTGTTATCATTTTATTATACTATTATACCCATATTATTAGTAGGCATATTTCTATAATTATTATCATTTTCACCACTACTATTACTTTTAATCAATACTTTTTTTATTATTATAGCTGTTAGGATATTATTGTTGTTGCTGTCTCTCTCTTTCAACCCAATTCTGGCCAAGGATCCTGTTAAAGAGGAGTTATTTCTTGCCACTCTAAGCTGCTCTATATCAAAGTGTTTGTTAATTAAGTGAAAATGACTGAAATAGAGGATTCACTATATCCCCCTCAAAATGTCTTTCCTTTTAACTTTGGGAAATTTACAAAGGTTTTTTTTCATTTTTTTTTTTTTTTTTACAGAGTATAGTATGAGTAGTACATATGATAACTTTTCTTTTGCTTGGTGTCTGATCAGGTCGTCCCGGTCGTGCATTTAACCACACAAACCACTAAAGCTTCACAGAGAGTGTAACCCGGGGAGTCAGAATGATTCGTACTGAATCTGTAGGTAGGAATGCGTAAGAGTCCAGAAGCACGAGAGCGTCCACCATCTCGGGGTACAGCGCACTGAACTGTGGAAGACACAATTTGAACCATATGATGATACCACGTGCAAAAAAAAAAAAAACACAGCAAAACAGTCTGTATATTTAGTGAGGAAATAGATAAGACAATGACACTCACCAATGCAGCGATTTCAGCACCTGTGAATAAAAAGAAGCTGCACGTGATTTGCACTTTCTATGATTTTGTAGCACAGCAACACAGATTAAGATAAATTATGCCGTTACGCTGCACTCACCCATACTGTGGCTTATGATGGAGAATTTCCTCAGCTGCAGAGCTGCGGGAGTTAATTTCACAGATCATCAACCAGGTTCGGTATCTTGTCACAGAACACTGAGGTAGTTTTCTTAGTTGCCATAAGTCCTTCTGGGGTTTACTTTTATGCATTAAACTTATACTGACGTTTGGGACAATACTATTGCACAATATTATGAGTTCACACACACACACACACACCATCAGCGACTCTGCGTATATCCGCCACGTATGCAGGATAGGAGTAGAAATCTCCAGGAGGACGATGAGATGATAGACCGTGACCCGGCAGATCCAGCGCCACGTATCTGCACTCTGAAAGGAAGTACAGAGAGGAGATGTGTGAAATATTCATGCAACAAACTCAGGGGAATTGACACCAAATCCCAAACACATACATTACAATTTTTTAACGTTTGGAATTATAATTCCAAGGAAGCTTCCTGGAAAGAGATCACTAACTTGGCAGCCTACTGATTAAAGGGAATTACAGAGCTGAAGTTCTGAGCGAGCTCAGTTGAGTTTATGTTGTGAACCAACAGCTCCACTTCAGCTCGGAGTTAAAGGAAATGAATCATTGGAAACTTTAATATCCATTAATGCTGAACTGTATATGTGCATGTACAGCTGACCTGATCTGCACGGACTGAGCAGCTGCTAGCACAGTTTCATATCAGTTTAAATGGCATTGTTACGTCCACCATTTTGTTAGGTCTTCGTCCAACTAAATATTTAGGGACTTTTTCTATCTCCTCAAAAGCTGTTGTTTGTACGCACTCCTTTTTATTACAGACGTTTTTGTGACTGTCTATTAAATCATTTAGTAGAATTTAGTTCTTCTATTATCAGTTTGCTGCTAACCGAGTTAGCCACCCTGTCTGGAGCTAACGTGTGGCTAACGTAGCATTCTGTAACCGTTGAATTACCGTTAGGCTAGCTGTTGTGAATGTCACAACAGAATGACATTTATGTGTATGTTAACTTAATTACTGGGACAACTTTCTATGAGAAACTGATTTTAAAAAAATAACTTAAAAAAGAAAATTGATCCAAATAACTCCATTTGACCCAAAGATGGGCCTAATTAAATTGCGAAGCTCTCTCCAGGAAAAGTCCAGGAAAATTATTAGACAATTACAGACCGCACAAAATAAAAACAACGGTCACCCTTTACCCACGAGCCATAGTTTTACCTTTGGGTAGAAGAGGAATGAGAGTGTTGAATGCACCACAGTTGTCAGCCCAGCCGTGCAGGCACAGCACGGGACGACCGTGATCAGGACCCCAGACTCTTCCTCTGATGTGTCCCCATGGGACCGGGACGGAGAGATCCGAACACACTGGGCACAATACACAGTGCAGCTATTACAGCAGTGAACAGCTCAAACTGTTAACATCAACACAACTATTGTTATTATTGTATATCAGACAATCGCCAGTGGCCCGGTCCCTCCCCCTCCCCTAAAGTCTGCAGCCCATACACAAATATCTGACAGATAAGTGAAAACATAAATGAACAGCATCATTACAGGCCTATATGAGCAAAAATAAAGGTGCTGTTTGGATGCTAAAGACACACAACTTTAGTCAGCAAGTGCATAGCTATGCTTGTTAACGGTTGTCACGTGACATCTATGACTGTATGCATAGTCTGACTTTGTTACCTTCTTCAGCCATTGCAGTTGAAGTTGCGCCGTGTAAAGTTTGCAGCAGTGCTCGCATTTCCCCACATGAACCGGAAGCCCTGAACACGTCCCGCCCCCGGTCCAAAGTAACTTCCTTGTCCTCTTGTTTCCGTTGTGTTTATGTTTCCCTCGGTTCGGTTTTTCAGGCAGCGCCCGCTGCTCAGTTGATATTTTCACGTGTAGCTATTTTCCCCAATGAAAGATCCATCTTCCAAACTACCAATGGACTTTTAGAAACAGTTTCTCTGTCATTGTATTAACCAAGTCTTTTGAATCAGGAGGTTTTTACTATTATCAAATGCATTAGACCTGCGATCATTCATTCAGGCAGCCGGAAGATGCACGTTTTGATTTATTTAGTGTGTGACATCTATCCTCTAGTTAGTCTAGTAGGCTAAACATAAACCTGTAGTCAACGGGACTTGCTGAACCAAACCATCAACCAAGAACTTCTAAAAGCCTCAATCCAAAATGGTTTGACTATATATTCAGTACACAAAGTAGGAAAGTTCCTGCTTCAATGCTGCACTTTCTTCACATGTGATCCCTTATGATTTTAACTCTGTCAAGTCAATGTAGATATATCAACCACATGAAGTATCTATGTGATACTTTGTTTTAACGGTCAGTATTCGATACTGATGTACAGAGAAAACGGTTTGTTTAAATTCCACAGGTGAATCAAGAAACAAACTTTTTTTTAACTACGGCGCCCCTTCATAATTTAATGTGGGTTTTTTTTCATGTCGAAAGTGAAATTGCTACAAAATAGCTACAGATACAAAACAATTCTTCTCAACGACAACATTGTTTTCCCTCCCCTCAAAAGTTCTTCTGTGATCCAATTATGTATTCTACATATCAGATTTCAATAACTGTCTGCAGCCCTTTAACAACTATCAAACAACTGCATCAAGAGAATGCGAACATTTTGACATTTGAGAGAAAAAAGCAAACTGCGCAACAATAACATTTTTCGGTAAATATTTACACCAGTGGCCAGGTCCCTCCCCCTCACGCTGTGGGGAGAGGTGAGGAGGGGGTCTGATTGGAGGACGTTATTCTATTTCATGACGTAGATCAGTCTCATGGATTATCTGAGCGTTCCAATGTTATCATACTATTTAGTATGCCAGAAAAAGATGTATGTCCCAATCCAGCATGGTTTATATATCAGCGGATATATAAGTAAGAGGGTCAAAGTTCAAGGTGCCATATTATGAGGAAGCAGTACCAATCAAACGCACATGGCATGCATCAGTAGCACTTTCTAAGGGCAGCTGCATTAAGTTCTAAAAGTATGCCATTTGGAACGCAGTTTATGTCAGAATTAGTTTTGCAAGATTAGGGCTGATTTAAAACAGTGGCAGGTGTTTTTTCAGCCATTTTCAAACATGAAATAATGCCGGAAATGTACATTTGGTAATAACTGTTATTAACACCAGCACACATTAAAAAACACATTCAAATGTGCAGTTACTCTTTAAAATAATGCCAACGATTGCAGTTTCGTGGATATCCACCAGATAATCCTTCAAAATAAAAGCCATCTTTAAAATAGATTAAAAGCTGTATTACTGAAGACAAGCTGCAAACAAATACTTGAGTCCAGATTCATCCTCTGCTCCCACCGTGGCACTCACGGGTACTCTTTCCACAGCTCACTGATTAGAACACGAGGACGAGGACACGCGCACACACGCCCACACACACACTTCAGAGAAACTGTGTGCGTGTGTGTCTGCTGTTAAAATATTAACAGCAGGCAGCAGACTTCTAAGACACCTGGGCCTGCAACGGTGCATTTCAAACAATACTCAAAGGCAGAAGCTACAAGGTGATAGAACTGTTGTCTGCTGATACTCAGCAGTCTGTACTGCAGGGCAGCAGGAAGACACCGGCCTGAGAAAAGAGTTCAGTGGTGCGACAAGGTTTATGATTTCCACACTTCCTAAAAATATTGATTATGGCAGAATAATGGTCATATGTATTTTAATTGAAGCACTTTCCCATAGAGTAAGTTTTCTTTAGTGTATAATCACCTGAAAATAACAACGGAACTTGTGTTTATTACTTTAAAATGAGCCGTTTATACTGACATACGAAGCGGGTCCTCTTCACTGAGCCGGCCGCTGTGTTTCTACAGTAACCCAGAACGGACAAACCAAACACTGGCTCTAGATTGATCTATTTACATACCACGTCGGCCACTGTAGTTCTCCTACACAGGCTTGGCACATAGGATGAGTTTTAGTTGGTTGCAATCTGCAACCTCACCGCTAGATGGTGCCAAATCTTTCACACTGCACTTTTAAAATGTACCCGTCCAACACTTAAGTTCATGACACCTCCAATTGACTAAATTCCCTTAATTGTCATCTCCATTAGTTCTACTGGCAAAGTTAGCATTCCGCAATAAGTACTGTCTGTAGTTGAGTTGCATTGTGGGTAATGTAGGCGCCCAGTTTTGACAAGGGAGAAGAATGCGTGGAATATAAATGATAACTCTGCTTCCGCTGCATTGATTTTGATCCTTTTGTTTAACTGTCCATCGTGAGTCCAACAGTGATAAATAGGTGGAGTACTGTTAAGAAGATCATATATTATATTGTACCATGCCATCAGCAGCCAAACATGGTTTATACTGTTACTATTCAAATTGTCCCTAATAACTAAAGTGTGTTACAGAAGTATCATTTCTGTTTAAATGCATGCAACACTGCTTTGTCAGCACTCCGTTAATATCTATTAAAATACATCAAATCATTTAGGAGTCCAGGTTAAGGCACCAAGGTGAGTATTAACATCATAGTATGAATACAAGTACATTTTAAAAAGTTGTTCAAGTCAGCAGCGTAACGTGACGTTTTGGTGTTCGCTATATCTTCGAAGTCTGTTCCTTGGCTGGTCTTGCTGGCTGTGTCAACACTTTGGTCTGCAGGAAGTCAGACACAAGTGGAGCAACGACTTCAGGGTCATTCAGGTGGATGTGATGATCGCCTGGTACGGTCACCAACGTGTGCTGAAAAAAAAAAAAGAGACGGGGAATATTAGACGAGGGTTTTGAGTGTCAGAGTTTAACCTGCAGTAACTGTTTTCTTCTGGCCACCTGGGGGCAGCAGAAACAAGTTGTGAACACAACATTGACATATTCAACTTTTACGTTGATATGAGGAACATGTCATCAAACAGTTGGTTATTTACACATCCAGCAGTTATGGAGCAACATTAGCATTCATTTGGAGTCGTGTTTCTGGTCAGATGATCAATCCAAGTCCGATATTCTCTCTCTTTTAGCTTCGTTTTTGGTCTCCACCGCTTCCTGAGGGAAATAGCTCTCTCTATAGCTGCTAAATGCTCCGCTATGTTAGTTCTGTTCTCTATTGACCAAGTGCCAGTATGTAGGTCAGCGTTGAGGTTCCCAGCTACAGAGATTTTTGCTGCCTCTGAGATATTGAGCTTGAACTACGCAGCGACTTTTGCATCTGTCTGTCTGTCTGTAAGCACAATTACACACACAGGCTTAACGGCTAAAAATAAACACGAAGATGCGAGCGTACCTTACTTTACACAAACACGCTGTAAAGATACACTCACTTTTCTGTCCCTGTAGCCCTGGACAATTGCTGATATGGATTTTTTGTTATCCTGTCCAACAAATAATTTGTCAAAGCCATCCTCTGCTCTGGAAAGACAAAGAAGAAAGAGAAGACAAAGATAGCATGTATGTTTCCTAGTATTGCACTGAGATTAGCACATGTAATAAAGAATCTGGGGTGGAGGAATTACTTACAGAACAACTAGAATAGGGGCTTTTATCTCAGACTGCAACTCCAGACTTTGCCCCAAACTGATGCGCACTATATTTTTCTGAAAACAAAAAAGGACAAAACAACACAATGCTGCACATGAATTTTGAGGGGTGCATACGACACCCATGGGAGAGATATAAAAGAATAAAGAGCAGTGGTGCAGTTCAGCAAAAACCTACCAGATTAATACGAAAGTCTCGGGTAAACGCCATACCTGCAAGAGATAAATACATTCTATGATCAGCATGGGAATGAAAACGTATTCAAAGTAAACCCCAAAGCGCCCATAACAAACATTCCAGAGGAGGAATGTGAAGGCGTACCTCCTTCAACTTGAACTAGACCTCGCTCTAAAAGGATGCGCACCGACCGCTCAGACAGAGCCGGGTTTGCAGCCGACAGCCTGAAAGAAAATCACAAAGGCTTTAAGAGAACACTTGTACAAACAGACTGAGTTCAGCAGTCTGTTTAAAACAACGTGAACAGGAAAGATGCAACACCTCTCTACTGCGCTTTCATAAGTGTAAACTCTTCTCTTCTTCTCCTTCGACTGCTTTTCAAACTGCAACATCTCATCCATCCCCTGCTTCAGCACTTTAAACATTTCTTTCTGCAAGAAAAAGAAGGGGGGAAAAGAAAAAAAAAAAAAAACGTCAATGATGCGGGACATTTCTCTTCACAGAGAAATATTATGGAGTGAGGCAACTACATTATATGAACAAAAGCTGTTTTTAATTCAACAATACATTTGAACTCTGAACAACTTGTCTTTCCTTCTCCTCCGTAGCTACTGCTCTGCATGTTTAGTGGAGTGGTGCCAGTTCCATTTAAGACTTTTTACAGAGCTTTTTTGATAAGATGTTTAATACCCGTTCGTGATCATACGAGGCAAAGCATGATGGAAAGCCGGCGTGGATGATATGACCTAGAGCTGTTGATCATTTTCTGTAATTCTTTGCCGTATATATTCTACGGGCGGAAAATGGCAATCTGTTAAGCCTGGTACATTAAATCTCTCCATATTATATACACAACGTTAATATTCTTTGTGCATTCACCCTGTTCAAATAACAAAAAGAAATGTCCACTTCTATTAAATCTGTCCGTGCTCGGCTTCAGGTTTTTGTGACTGGACAGATAGTTTGGTGTCAAATGTGAAATAAAATAAAAATATTAATTCTACAGTAAAATACCGTAACAATGGATTCTCAACATGTGGGAGGACCGTTGTGAAACCTGGTGGAAATATAAATAGGATATTTTGCAACACAACTTCAAAGTACATTGTATTTTCCCTCACTCTTAACTAAGCAACAAATTCATTTTTTAATTTATAAATAACTGAAAGTACCTGATCTGCAGGTAAGAATCCATAAGAGTCCAGCAATACGACAGAATCCACCATCTCAGGATACAGTGCACTGAACTGTGGACATAACAGGGACAAAATACCACACGGTACAGCAAAATACTCTCTACAGAGTCAGTATATGTGTACTGTGAAAATAGTAGCATGCCATGACACTGTCACTTACTATTCCAGCAACGTTACCACCTGAAATAAAAAAGAGACTTTTTATACTGTAAATATAACATAACATTAACATTTTAATGCTCCCATTCTGCTGTTACGCTGCACTCACCCATACTGTGGCCTATGATGGAGAAGTGGCTCCAGTGCAGAGCTGTGGGAGTCATTTCACAGATCATCAACCAGGTTCAGTATCTCACCACAGAACACTCAGACTGTTTACAGTTGAGAGACAACGTCACTGCTGTGGTTTCACTGCAATACAGATGCACTAGAGCTGGGTGGTAGTATTAGAATATATCACAACAGTAACCCTTCCTGAGAGGGTGAAGGTGTATTGGTTGTCATTTTTGTCATCTGCTATAARAAAAAAAACTGTAAACAAAACTCTTCAAATTTGTAAAAGAAAGACCATTCAATAACCAAAAAAACTGTTTATAATTCAAATCTGCTCAGAATCCTTCATTCTGTGACATTTCACAACGTTCATATAATAGAGACATGTTTCCATTAAAAGTTAACGATCACTAATAATGAATCACCACCCAGCCCCAGGGCACACTTGTTTGTGGGCAAACGTGTTGTGTAATTTCGCAAACTCACTCACCGTCAACGACTCTGCGCACATCCATTACGTACTCAGGAAAAGAGTAGAAGACTCCGGGATGACGATGCGACGACAAGCCGTGACCCGACAGATCCACCGCCACGTATCTGCACTCTGAGAGGACGGACAGAGAGGAGAACTGAGCGACTGTTGCATATCTCTTTAAGCAAACAATTACCTATATTAAACAACAAAAAACTCAACATTTTCTGAAGCAAATATGGGCATACAATTAGAAAAGAAAAGTAACCAAGCTCAATTATCCGGAGAGTGTTTTGTCAGGAGGAAAGTTATTCAAACCGGAGGGCTTCTTTGCTTCTCTGTCGAAAAACGTAAATAACAGGAGTGACTTTAAAAGTGACGTGTTTTCTTTTTAAATAAACGCTGTGGCCCGGCAGCTCCTGGGCACTGCTGGCACTTTCAGGCTTACGGGGCCAAATGTGTGAGTCTGTTTGCTTCCATAGCTACAGTGTATGATGGAGCACACACTTTTCTTCACGTTGACCTAAAATGATACACGAATAGTGAACATTGCGGAAAATAGAGCAAGTTAGAGATGATTATTAATGAAGATGTTAAAGCTGCACTCTCGCTCTGAACCTTCCTTCGCATACACACTAATGTCCCAATCAGACTTTTACTAAACGGAGAAGGTTCAATATTTTTGAAAGTTATAATTGAATTTGACAGAAGAATATGCCCATAATGTATGAAAAATGCCCAAATACAAGTCCCCAAAGCACCAGTGAGCTTCTTATTGTGAGGAAACAGTATTTACCACCCATCATGCAAAATGTACCCACTACACTGATCTGCTAAAGGACACACTTTGACGCAATTAGTCAAACACGATAAACCTGTGTGAGCTGGATGGCTTTGTAAAAGACAGCCCTCATTCAGAAAACACACGGTGTATCTCAATGCTCTAACAAAATCTTAATTCGTATTTGAACCGCGCTGAATGAACTGTGAAATTAAAAGGCTTTCCTATTAATTTATGGTTCATAACATTGCAGCAGGTCAGAAATGTATTTTAGGCCCTTAACGGTTCAGTACTCTTCAATTAAACCGACATTAAAACATGTTTCCACAGACATTTGAGGTGTGACATAAGCAATGCTCTAACAAAATCTTAATTAATATTTGAACAGCACTGCCGAGGTTGACAGTTGATTGGAGTTGCCAAGCTTCATGAGCAGTGATTGACAGCGGTGTTGGAGATCAGTTGTAACCACCACATCGTTTTAGTGAGGAGCGGTGGCCGAGAGCTAGGGCACGGTCACATAATGCCATAATATGTAATTTGATCCTTCCCCCCACGTGCATTTCTTTGTGTCGCCCCAACCTGAATTCACAGTAAAGCACTTTTCTCCTCAGCTGGTTGGAGTGGTCCTTAGTAAAATCCTGGAAGAGAAGGTAGGGCTGGATGCCAACGGGCAGCAGGCCCTGAAGAGAGTGATGGTCGTCATCATCGCTGACATGGAGGTCGAGTACAAGAACCTGGGCATCACCGGCTGATGGTGGAAGTCACACAAAGTCATAGCAGGGTCGGATGACAGAGAAGAAAATGTTCCACTTGCAAGATTAAAAAATAATAATACAAAATAAAAAATGGTTTGATATTCTGTAACCACTAAAATGCAATGAAATACTTTTTATGTCACCAATAAAATAAACTCTATGGCACTACTCTGCTCATTCATTTTTAGTCACATTTCCAAGTTGATGAGTCTGTTATTTGTCACCTCCTGTGTCTTTGATGCTCAGGGTAATGGAGCTGTAAATTGGTCCTGTTAAAATGAATTGCTGCTCATTAGAAAATAATAAAGTACGAGGGGACGTATGTCTTTGTCAAAACATGTACTCTGAAAGACAATCCAAAAATCTGACAGATAGGAATCAGGTTAAGTCTGAAACACTTAGCATCAAGTGTTCTGAACACGCACAAACAAATGCACACACAAGTTAAAAAACAAACACTTGAACACGTCACACAGCAATGTCACCAGAGGGGGTGCACAGAATTATCTGTAGTCAGTTAGATGTGAATATGACTTAAGTATAAATAAATAAATGCTGAAATAAATGTTTGAATACAGAAATA